ATGAATATAGTACAGCCAGGCAAGGCATCTTAAATTAAAATACATGTGTAAACTTGCATCTGTTATTTAAAAGACAAAATGTCCACAGCAGAGCACCCTGGCAAAAGACAGGGTTAAATAGCATTGTAGAAAAATAAACAGTTACCACCTGTCCTTCAAAAGATTAGTTAGTTTGGGGAAAACATTTTATTGTTTCAGGTCAAGAAGATTGATACCACGTCATGAAATGTTGTTGAGAGGTTCTAAGAAAGTCAAAAAATCCCCCGTCTAGTGAGAGAAAAATTATTATTATCTCATAGGTTGAGAAAAGATCATCGTCTCATATACATGGAGATTTTAGGTTACTACAAATGGATGAACAGTTATGGGTTCAATGTTTTGGATAGAGGAGACTGGACAGACTTTTCTAGGTTTTTTTACCTTTGACCTTATAATGTCCCCCTGCAGGTGTCAGTCCTTCACAAGAGGAAACAGGCAGAGTGCCAGTCGGCCAACAGCAGGGAGGTAATCATACAAAGTCATTTATTTTAACACATGTGATGCACAATAAGACAATAAAGAAAGTAATATATATGTGGGTTTTTTGTTGACAAGTAACTGTCCTGTACACTGTGTGTGTCATTTCCCTACAGGTGCACACAATCATAGTCTTGTTTATGGTGGGTGCACACTGCTCTGTTTCTTCACTTTTTTTCATGGATTTTTAAAAGATAATGTCTTTGTTATCACACGTAAAAAAATCATCATTGTATTATATTTTCAAATACCAGAAAAAGAGGACCAAGGCCCATTCAACCAGCAGGAGGAACCCGGAGATTATTGCAACACAGTTTCAGGAGCGATGCCTCATCCCGACCTGACTCTGCACCCTGACAGTAGCAGTGGGATGTATCCAAACCTCAACCAGTTCCAGAGGACGGAGAGTCAGAGGACTAAACTGAGATTTCATAGAGGTGCTTAACATCTAGCACAATTACTACTGTTTGTATAACTGGTGACAAGTGATGGAAGAAGTACCCAGATTATTTAATTAAGTGAAAGTAATAATACCACAGTCTGGAAAACTCCTTAAGTACAAGCTGTGGTTTCAAAACCTAAGTTATATTATATAAGTGTAATAAGCTTAATGTACTTTAATTATCAAAAATACAATTATTTGTTACGCAGAATGGTTCTTTGAAAAGTGTTAATGGTCCCATGTCATGGCCATTTCTACTGGTCATAATTCCATTGTTGAGGTATACTAGAATAGATTTATATAGTGCAATTTTCCAAACTCACATTGGTTTCTCATACAGCATCTCTATAAAGTATGTGTATTCACTCTCTGTCCTACACGGCTTGTTGGAGCTCCTGCCCCTCCCTCCCTGTGAGCCCACTGTGCTCTGATTGGTCAGCTCGCCCACTATGTTCTGATGAGTCCACCACCGTTACAGCGGAACATCAGTGATTATGTGTTGCAATGGCGTTAGCAACCAGAAAATGACACCAGTAATGATAAACAGATGAGAATGCTGCGTGGGGTCTGGGTGCCGTGTTGGCGGGACGTTGCGCGGCTCGCTGCTGCAAGGAGCGGACAGTGTGAGCTGGGTTCATTTCCTGCTTGCTGCGTGGGGTCTGCGAGACAGCGAGACATCACGAATGGACGCGGGAAGGGGGGAGGATGCTGAGGGGGCTGCAGCACCCCCATCTGCGAGGCTCCACTAGCACCCGCACCCCCAAACGTGGCGCTCCTACAGTATAACGGCCCGTCCACACGGCGGCATGTGTTGAAGCTTCAAAGCTTCTGCCCATTCACTTTGAATGGGGTGACGTCACGCTTTGCCGAACTGCATTGTGGTTCCGTCGCTTCGCTTTGCTCGCGTTGCTCGCATCAAAAGTAAAGCAATGTTCTACTTTTGAAGCTTCGACGGAAGCGTCAGCCAATCAAATCATATGCCAGTACAAGCTCTAGCCAATCAAACCGCGTGCTTGTGTGTCTGGGGCGGGAGATTAATGTGATTGGTTGTTGGTCGAGTTTCAGACACGCCCACCGACAAGTTTCAACGCACCCCCCCCCCCCCAGTGCGTCACAGTTTTGCCGCTGAGAGAGTGTGTGTGTGTGTATGTGGAGCTCCACGGATCCATTTGGGTATGGTCACGTCACCATTCCCAGGAAGATGAAAATGGAAAAAGAAAAATCTCCAACGAGGCGTTCTGGGGCAGCATAGACAGGTCTTTTCTGTGTTAGAGTTTTACTCGCTACAGGGTGTACTTTGAGGGTTTGTGACTCTGCAGACCGTTTACATGCATAAAAACCTTCATAACACACAAGGGGACGGGTAATAACCGGAAAAGCATGACATGGGACCTTTAAATTAAAATATATCACTAAAGTGTTTTTTTTGTATCTCTAACAAATACATATGAGTCAATCTGGATATGTTCTATACTGCTGAGTAGATTGGTTGTTAACATATCATTTTATTTACGTACAAATGTACCAGTATCAACAAGTGTCAAATAAATTAAGGTAAAAAGTATTTATTTTTTTCAGTTTTAGGGGTAGTGGAGTAGAAGTAGAACAAATTTGAAAATGTTAATACTCAAGTAAAGTACAAGTACCTCACATGTTTTCAGAACAGTACTTGAATAAATGTACTAAAATGCATTCAACCATATGCTAATGACTGATTTTATTTTTGACAAACTAAAGTAACTCAGTCTCCTGTCACCTCTCCAGAACTCTTCAACAGATTACGGCAAGCAAGTGTCAAGCGCCCTTATTACGGTAATATAAGTATGTTTTATTAAATCACATCATTTCAATGTTTTCAGGAACTTCACCTGTTCATTTCCTTACACAGTTAACCAAGATGAAATGAGGCAACAACAAGCCAGTTCAACTCAGGAGGAGAAGCGTCGCAGAGGTATTTAGATTACATTTAATATTGATTTGAGTGTGAGAAATAAAAGTTGAATGCACAAAATGTAATCAGTTTGATTGTTTGTTATTGTGTTTGGCTGCAGGTTTGGGGAAGAAGAAAGCCAAAGAAAGTGAGTGCTGATCTGTTGGCATGTTCAGGATGAAATAATATCTGCTCAACTTATCTCCAACTTCTCCATTGTTTCCCTGTCAGATGCTGAATTCAAAAACCCGATATACAACAGGAGCGTAGACCAGCTCAACCACCTATAGAGAATCAACCCATCTCTTGCGTTAGGTCATACCCCCCTTCCCATGCTATTTTCGGTCAAAATTGACCGGTGTGTTTTGCACAGTGATATGTCTGGAACCCCTTATCCAATTTTGTTGGTTGACATCTCATTTGAACAGTCAAAGCAAGTAGAATCAAGGGATGACAGACAGAATGACACCAGGCGTGAATTTCATATTATTTTTGGCAGTAAGTTCAAAGATAGTGCTTATTTTACATTACTGTATATTATAAAAATGCTTGCCATGTAGGCTGTGTTTACTGGAGATGGAAATGCTTTAGTTATGGCGCGTTTCCACTACAGCGCGGAGCACGGTTTAAGAGGGCTGTGACGTCAGCGGCCCGTTTTTGGTTGCGTTTCCACTTGGCCTAGTACCGGCCGGCGGGTCTTAATTCACAGTTTTTCTGGCCTCATAAAATCGTGGGTCTAGGGCCAGAGACAACGAGGCTGAGTCGGGCTGAGTATGCTAAACTAGAGAGAGCATCGCTGGCAAGGGGGCTACAACTACAACAAGATGGACATATTTGACCGTGATTTAATTGTAATACACGTTTCAAAATGATGCCGAAGTAACAACATACTGATACCGGTTAGTACAAACCATGAATTAATGCTTTGTCAAGTCTGCAGACAGACGGCAGGCGAAAAACCTTTTAAAATGCGTGTTTTCTAGTCCTAACGAGGCCTAGCCATACCGAGCGAGGCCGTGCAAGGCCGTGTAGTGGAAATGCGCCATTAGTGTTGTAGCTGAGATCCCGTTCCAATGATGTATGGGATGTATTGATTTGATACAAGCAAGCCAGTGTTTCATGTCACTGTCCGGACCCACCGGGCCCATCAGGTTCAGGAAACACTGTGATGAATATAAAATAAGACACTGATACTGTTTTCCTCAATGAACATTTATTGAAAGACAAATATACCTTAACAGAACGTGTGTGTGTGTGTGTGTGTGTGTGTGTGTGTGTGTGTGTGTGTGTGTGTGTGTGTGTGTGTGTGTGTGTGTGTGTGTGTGTGTGTGTGTGTGTGTGTGTGTGTGTGTGTGTGTGTGTGTGTGTGTGTGTGTGTGTGTGTGTGTGTGTGTGTGTGTGTGTGTGTGTGTGTGTGTGTGTGTGTGTGTGTGTGTGTGTGTGTGTGTCTCACGCCAACAGTCTTTGGTTGCCTCTTAATGAAGCGGTGTAAAGGTTTGCTGCCCCCCACTGTGGTGCTTTGAAGACCTGCATTAGTTCCTCCTGGTTCACTCACACGAAACAGATCCACAGACATCTTACGGACAAACTGAGAGAACGAGTGAAAATCTTTACAGATATCAATTATGATGGACACGTTTGTTCTGGTTCTTATCCATGCTTTGGGAAAATGCTGATAATAGATTTGCCCTCCCTCACAAATGTACTTTGTAAAGTTTCAGTTTATCCTTTTTTGTCAAGATGTAAGTGCTATAAATCCAAGATTTACTAACGCTTATTTTCGTCATTTGATAAGCATAGCTGAAATGTGTGTTTATTTCACAAAATATTGACACACTGTAATTTTTACTTATCAGGAACCAGCAAACCAAGTTCTCAATTCTGAATCAATGAGGACGGTTATTTAAATGTTTTATTTACATTTTAAAATATACTTATGTCTGCCTTTTTAGGTTGAAATTATTTCTTCCTCTTTCCACAAAAAGTAGAACAAAATGTTTGTGTGCAGTACATTCTACACAATTGTACATGAACAAAAGCTTTGTCGACAAAGTCATCAAAAGTGAAACGTACTTAATATGCAGAACTGTTAAAAGGAAGTGAAACACAGTGTAGCAATCACCTTTGAGTTTATTGAAAAATGTGTCCACTGTACAGATTTATTCAAACTATGTTGTCGACAGTAGCTTGCACGCTGCTTCACGGTGCCCTGAACATAATCTTTACACGGGAAAGCAAACCGGATTGACATCCATGTCAACACAGAGACAGATATCTGGTCAAGAGTTCATACGATCTTTCACAGAAAGAATCAGGTGAAAATCATCAAAACAAATGATTTACTTAAAAAAATGGGAAGAGCATTGTGTTCATTAAGAAGAAAAATTAATTCGTACTTCTTATTTCCATATGAAATTGTAGAGTAAGTATATCTCTGCTTGAATTAAAGGACTACAAGGCAGAAAGATTTTACAATTATCAAATTAAATGACCTAACACGGATCAGAGTGTTTGTTTGGCTTAAATAATCACAAGTTATCGTGTCTGTGCATGTTTGACATACTTATAACAATAACAGGGCATATACTTCCCTACAGAAATCTGGTGACAATCATCATAACATCCACATAAATTCACATCTTTGAATCACAACAGCATGCGTCCTCTGTGTTTTTTCTCTGGTACAACTTACACTGGATTCCCAAAAGGCCTTTGAACATCAAACATTTTAGATTAAAGGTCATTAGTTTCTCTTTTTGTCGATCACAGCACAGCATTAGACATATCTATCCTATGCACCAAGATTATACAGCAGTATAACAGACAATCAATCCTAGTTCAGTCTTCTGTCATTTTGATTTCATTTTTGCTAGCAATACTTTTTCTAATATGATGAGTCTTTTTTTTTTTTATATACACTATTAGAATTGCTGAAATGTTTGGATACAAAGCATATAAAGTCATGTTGGAGAATAATAACAGCTTCTCAACACAAAAGATTTTCTAAATAATGGTATACAACTGATACATCAAGTATCAGTAAATGATCTTTAAACCATTGATAAAAATAACTAGATACATCATATCAAATGTGGTACAAATGAGCAAACATTGAACATTGATTTATGTGTTTTTTGAGAAACTAAAACAGCCCACACAAACTTTCTTTAACTATCTCAGAGAGACATTGGTTTGACTGATAAAAGTGCAAATACAATGTGCTGACAGGCAGAACCCAGAGTTAGTATCAGTTAATTGCCTGAGCAGTGAAAGTAAAACATCAATGCTATCACCCTGTTGAATCTGGTGGCAAATGTTCAAACGAATGAAATACAATGCTCACAGGGTGGTGGAAGTAGTAATTTATCACATACACACCACAAGGCAATACATATACTCACATGTCTGTATTTCATTCTATATAGCCAACAAAGAATTAGAAATGCTATTTTGCAATCATAAATCCTATTGTGCGGTTCTTATTGCTTCTCTCTGACATTTATCCTGCTTCAGACGTTCCTCTTATTCTTGTTATTCCACTGGTGCTTCAGCCTGTGCAGCAGTCATCACTATAATGGCCTAAAGAGAAGAGAAAGAAGAGAACTGTAACGGTGGCCTACTCATGTTGGGGCAATTCTGTTTAGGCTCATTAAATATTGTAAGACATTCTCAGCACAGTGTGTAATGTGTACAAAAGTACTTCTAATGTATTTTCTTTTTACCTCAGTCTTTGTGGAACGCAGGGCGGACACGGCCAGACATGACATTACTATTAAAGTCACTGCACCCGCAATACTGTAGAACAGGAAGATTATTTCCACAAACAGTTCCATGACCTGGACAAGCACACGCACACACATGAGAAACACATTAAGAAACACACAACTGAATCAAGGATGTGCACCAGATTAAAATGCATTAAATCTTAAAATGTTTACACATTTATAGCAATATAAATGTGTGTGTGTAATGCTAGATCGTATACCTCCTGGGTTTTAGGCGGCGGAAGTGACGTAATCGTGGATGAGAAGTCGGCAACTTTTGTTTTAAAAGTTTAACGTTTACCCTAAATAGAGGAGAGTTCCGCTCACGCACGTCTTGTCACAAATATGAGGTTCATTAACGAATAATGAGATCATACTCTATATATAACAACATTAAAATGTGTGAAATATACTTACATTTCAATAATAATGGCTTGATTATTAAATAATAACTTACAGTTCTTATTTGTGTTGCATTTGTGGATAAAACCCAAAGAACATTTAGGATATATATAAATACTGGTCAGATATCCACCAGATCTTTTAGTGATTTTTGTCTCTCTTGGAGAAATTAAATTGCAACATCAAATACAAAAGTTAATCTGAAACAAACTCAAATACCATAATGAAATTAATCCACAAATTATGATTGTTATTATAACTTAAATTGTATACCTGGAAACACAAATACACAACCGAAAATAATAAATTTAATATGCTCGTCTCTTGTCCTGGGTGGCAGATTACGTCACTTCCGCCTCCTAAAACCCAGGAGGGGATCTAGCCGCTGCTGCACTAGCTAACGCTACATTAGCAAAACAAACGCTATTTATTTTTTACAAAAGGTGCAGCGGGCTTCAAACACGTTCCCCTCAACTGGTTTCAACCAAGCACTTAATTCGATGTTTTCAAACCAAATATGGTTGATAGCAATATAAATGTAGGCCTAGTGTTCATTATAATTGTAGTGCTAATTTTGATTCCTTTTTCAATGTAATGTCAATAATTGCCTTAAAATTCAGATAAAAAAAGGACACCCCAATATTAAAAACTACCAATAATGACAAAAATAATAATTACCGCAAAAGATGAAATTGAATATGTATAATAATCGTCGATATGCTGGTAGTGTCTGTAGTGGTAGGTGCTAGCCATCATGGGCACAATGTGCAGGGTAGTCCAACACGCCACCAGTATGCTCACAAGACTGAGAGCCAGCGATATGGTTACCTGCATGTAAACACAACCAGAGGCAGAAAGAGGAGGAAGAAACAAATGTTGGCAGTATACAACATGAAGGAAAATCAATGATATCAATTCTTATTAATCGTTCAAAAAGACTACCATATCAGATGGAAATTATCTTTCTAAGCATTTTTGGGGTCAATATCATTTGTCTGTTATATTTTTTATAGGCACAGGAAAATAGAAAGTTCTTGTAAAATGTGTAAGTATTGTTTAAAAATACATCTTACTGTTTTCTTGGTTGGAATGTGCTCTGTCACAATATACATAGTCCCACATATGACGAACTACAAGAAAGAGAAAAAAATACATATTTGATTTTCCATCTCTTTAAGGATATGCATTAGATTTGAATTAGAAAAACTAAGACAAAGCTTATTTTCGAGGCTTAAATATTAAAGTGAATACAAATTACTCTCAGCCTGTGATCAATTCTTAAACAAATGTCAATAATTGCTGTTTTCTTTGTTTTACTAGTTTGCTTGGTCAGTAAAGGAATCCATAAAGCCCTATGATTCATCGATTGGATCTCTTATCTTGTTACAAACCAGTGTTCCCAGCATGAAGCCAGGCGGGAAGGCTGTCCACATGGTATGCCTAGAGTATTCTGGTGTGGTCATGATGGTAACATTGAAGAAGGACAAGCCCAAGACCAGCACCATGATCTAAGAGAGAATAAAAAACAACTTCAAGCATGACCCGTTTTATTTTGATCTGTTTTAGCATCAGTAGTGACCCTCAAATGTTAGTCCTTTGGAAAGTACTTGTGTATAGAAATATTTGACAGAGCATAGTGTGAGCATTAGGGAGTGTGTGTGTGTGTGTGTGTGTGTGTGTGTGTGTGTGTGTGTGTGTGTGTGTGTGTGTGTGTGTCTCACGCCAACAGTCTTTGGTTGCCTCTTAATGAAGCGGTGTAAAGGTTTGCTGCCCCCCACTGTGGTGCTTTGAAGACCTGCATTAGTTCCTCCTGGTTCACTCACACGAAACAGATCCACAGACATCTTACGGACAAACTGAGAGAACGAGTGAAAATCTTTACAGATATCAATTATGATGGACACGTTTGTTCTGGTTCATCCATGCTTTGGGAAAATGCTGATAATAGATTTGCCCTCCCTCACAAATGTACTTTGTAAAGTTTCAGTTTATCCTTTTTTGTCAAGATGTAAGTGCTATAAATCCAAGATTTACTAACGCATATTTTCGTCATTTGATAAGCATAGCTGAAATGTGTGTTTCTTTCACAAAATATTGACACTGTATTTTTTACTTATCAGGAACCAGCAAACCAAGTTCTCAATTCTGAATCAATGAGGACGGTTATTTAAATGTTTTATTTACATTTTAAAATATACTTATGTCGGCCTTTTTAGGTTGAAATTATTTCTTCCTCTTTCCACAAAAAGTAGAACAAAATGTTTGTGTGCAGTACATTCTACACTGCAATGTCAACATCACAATGTACTCACACATGGTATTAATTTAACATGCAACAATGGCCTCTATGAAGCTCTGACAGCAGAACATATAATGGCTGATTCTCATGAAATATCTGTGTCATGTTCAACTTTAAAATGGACTAAATAATACAAATTAACTCTCCAGATCAAACGGAAAAAACACCTACTGAGTTAATGACGCAACAGTAAAACAAGTCTGTAAAATGTTTGGGATTAAAGCCAACTGCCATCTGCCAACATCAACAAGTCATAAATCCTGATGTTGACAACAAGCAATATGCACTGAGTAGACTGTCAAGGAAAAGGTTGCCACTGAAGTTGCAGAGATTGAAAAGTATGAGTTAAAAGTAATACGATGTCAAAGTGTCAAATCCCATCAAAACTGTCAGAAACAAAAGATATACTTGAGAACAAAAGTAGTCAGACCTTGTGTCGTCCTTTGGTCGGTTGTGCAGCTCACTGCTGGCTCTTGTAAAGATTCACATCGTGTTCACATCTGGATCAGCGTAAAGGGGAGTGGTGGACGATCGGTTCATTTTGAACACGAACATTCCTCTATCAGATGGGCTTGTTTTAACTCATGATTAAGAGTTTAGTTGTTCAATGCCCTATATCAAGATTTATTTCATTTATCATTTATAAGATTAACTTTCTTAACTGACACCATTCACAAAGAAAAAGCACAAATCACTTCGCTGATCGGTCATTTCCGTGTGGTTCAGTTAAAAAAATTGTAAACAATTACTATGTTGTCCCTTTCCTTTTTTTCTAAGCTAAGCTATTACATAATAAAGGCAGATCAGTATCTTCTGAACAGATCACAAGACTAAGAAGTATTTCCCAGAGCCGACAGAGGTCTTTGTCTCTGGCACGAAGACCTTAGGGTGAGACAAATACATGATTATGCAGTTGAGTGAACTTTTCCTTATTTTCTTAGTCTATCCACACATGAAAATTGGACGCCTCGAGAAGTGTTTGTAGGTTACACAATTCTGACAAAAACAAAGTAAACTTTGTGCACGTGTGTTTACCCTGCACTACAATACTGTTGTAAACATCTGTCCTTCTTTATTTGCTAAAATAACTGATGCTGTACTTTTTGTTGGGAGAGAAGTCTCTTATTTTATGTCAATTTAGTGTTTACTTTTACACACAAACTCAATGTATCTGTAATGCTAATGTAAGAAGTTAACTGTTGACATGCTGTTTCTTAGAGTAAACATCACTAGCAATGTGGTTTATTGTTTTGTGGGCAAAAATCTTCTTTTAAGAAACAAAGAACCAACGGCATGAACAACGCTTTCCTAACATGCAACAAAATGGTTGAATCCTAAAAAGGATCCGAACTTCCTTTCACTGATGGGGGGGGCTCGGTTCACATAGGGTCATTAGGGACCTGAAATGGAGAAGCAAAAGGAATGTGATGAAATAGTTTAAGGGAGAGAAAAAAAGGAGAAGTGGTTTCCTGTATTTCAAAATCTGTCACATCTGTGTGCTTTCGTCCAGCTCCATCCATTAAAGGGAAATAAAAAGGACAGAGAAGGAAAAGAAGAAGTGGGGGGTGGGAGAAGACAGGAGACCATTACAATCAACACTTTACATTAAAGCATTCATTAACAGTTTTTTCAATTAAAAGTTTAAAAAAATAAGTTATTTTACCACTGCAATGCTATTTAAAAGTCTATTGTTGCACACATTAATACATTAATAATTATAAATTATTACCGAATGACGAGTAAAACATCTAGTAAGATTGCATCGAGACATACAGTATAATTACAACAGATGGTTCATAGTTAATAATTAGATTGAACTACCTACGTAAACATTATTTGTATAGCTAATTAAAGTTGCAACTGATTACTTTAATACCTAAATAAATGGCATATTTTGTAAAGCCTCTATACATGTTAATTAGAGTGGAAACCATCAATAAACATTATGCATTACGATGTTTTACAAATTATTTTTGGAAGGTTTACATAATGCGTGCACCAAGGTTGACAGTTTGCAGAGCTCTTAATAATGTGTCTTCTAAAGTGATCAGAATGGAATTGTTGTTATGTCTTATTAAATTAACCTGGTCAATTGTATTAACTTGAATTCAAGATCACTCATTACTAATGATTATTATTCCTAGGTAGTAATACCACGGTTTAAACATGCTTCATTACATATAATTTTATATTTGTTCTGTAATATGTGCAACACTTCAATAAAAAGAACATGCTTCCTTAAAAGAAAAGCTTTGCATTCAAAATTGTACATGTCATCAAAAGTGAAACGTACTTAATATGCAGAACTGTTAAAAGGAAGTGAAACACAGTGTAGCAATCACCTTTGAGTTTATTGAAAAATGTGTCCACTGTACAGATTTATTCAAACTATGTTGTCGACAGTAGCTTGCACGCTGCTTCACGGTGCCCTGAACATAATCTTTACACGGGAAAGCAAACCGGATCGACATCCATGTCAACACAGAGACAGATATCTGGTCAAGAGTTCATACGATCTTTCACAGAAAGAATCAGGTGAAAATCATCAAAACAAATGATTTACTTAAAAAAATGGGAAGAGCATTGTGTTCATTAAGAAGAAAAATAAATTCTTACTTCTTATTTCCATATGAAATTGTACAGTAAGTATATCTCTCTGCTTGAATTAAAGGACTACAAGGCAGAAAGATTTTACGATTATCAAATGAAATGACCTCACACGGATCAGAGTGTTTGTTTGGCTTAAATAATCACAAGTTATCGTGTCTGTGCATGTTTGACATACTTATAACAATAACAGGGCATATACTTCCCTACAGAAATCTGGTGACAATCATCATAACATCCACATAAATTCACATCTTTGAATCACAACAGCATGCGTCCTCTGTGTTTTTTCTCTGGTACAACTTACACTGGATTCCCAAAAGGCCTTTGAACATTCAAACATTTTAGATTAAAGGTCATTAGTTTCTCTTTTTGTCGATCACAGCACAGCATTAGACATATCTATCCTATGCACCAAGATTATACAGCAGTATAACAGACAATCAATCCTAGTTCAGTCTTCTGTCATTTTGATTTCATTTCTTTTTTTCAATAAAGGACACATTACTATTTGACTACAATATAAATTATTAAATTGTTATTGAAATCTGGTGAATTGCTTTAAATCTGGAGAGTTGTAGCATTTTCTCTCCTTACAAGAAGATGTAAGGCATTCAGAGCTGCTTTTAACTACCTAATATTTACGTTTTAATACAAACAGATACTTTTTGGGGGTTGAAAGTATCTTCATTATGCTGCACAAAGTACAGGTTTGGCTGTCATGTTAATATCCCCCTTGATACCCATGATGCATTAGATGAATTGACAAATAACACATGATTACCAGCTGACATGACACCCGAAAGGAGACAAGAAAGTCGTCTATTGTCTTTCCTAAAATACTGCATGTTGTTCTCTTGCTGAAGTGGTCACATGATGAAACTGCCCCCTCTCAGTGCAACGAGAGGTGGCTGGTTTCAAAACAGATTCATAATAAAACATACAATAGCTGTAAGTACTAAATGAGAACCAGTAACAAAGTATATTAGACAATATATCAGCTCTCAAAAGTTTAGCAGAGCTTAAATATTCACTTCATATGTTCACATAAAATAATGTTATTCATGAGTTACAGTGGTTTCCCCCATTTTAAGTTAGACATGTGGTAAAAATAAACGCTTCCATTTTGAATAAATCCAATACAATAAGTGTTATTTGATCAACGGATGGCAACATAAACACATGATTACAAATGAAAAGAAAATGTAAAAATGACTGAAATAAATGTGTCGAGTCAAACCTCAACCTATTTCACTATGCTGTTCTCCTTTACAGATAAGTGCTCCACATAACAAGTATGCTGTTCTGTGCATTAACAACTTCACAAAACTTAAAATCAGTAGTCATTGCATTGATGAGCATTAGTTATTATAATAACATACACTCTGAGTTATGTATAGACTACATTCTAGTATATCACCTGTGTTAACTTGTATATAAAAACAGACATAAAGAACACACACAGGTATTTTTGCATTGACCTGCATTGATCTTGAGTATTGAAGTTAGAACATTTTTCACAGTAGCACGGTCTACACACACATTTATCTGGACCTGCAAAGGTGTTCGGCACAGAAGGGAATACTGGATACACTTTCTGTGCTGTTTTTGCATGTACTGGATGTTTTCACTGTAATGTATTGTGGTATTTCTGAAGTCAAGTGTCCTGTATCTTTTGTAGTTGAGGTCAGAAAAGATAACTACAGTCACTATACTAGACCAGGTAAAACTGCAACCAGGTGTCTGTTTACTATTTGGTAAATATATTGCATGATGGGTAAAAAAAGCCACTGTTCATTAAAAGATTAAAATGAGTAATGCACCAACAGGCTGAATTGTATATGTCATTTATATTTTGTTAACACTTTTGGAGGCTTCTTGTTTAAAATCTCTGTTTGGTTACAGCAACATTTCTGTAGTTGCCTATTTAATTAACAAAGCGCCATTCTTATGACTTAATATTTCAGGGGATAAAAGTAGGGATGACTCGATATTGATACCAGAATATACAAGCCATTTGGTGAAAGATAACAATAACTATCATCATTGTCACCCATAGTATTGTGGCAGCTTGTTTTAACCTCCAGTGTGAATTAAGAGTAGTATGGGATGAAGTAGAGAATGGGAACCAGCCAAAGGTAAGCACAATGTACTTGTGCTCTGCAATGTAGTGCAATGGAATGCATTTACATGATTTACTTTTGTGTGCTGCTTGCGTGTGTGTCTATGAGTCAGTGCACCTTCATATTTTTAATACGTGAGTCTGTGTTGTGCACTTATCCGGGAAAATAATCAGTTAAATACCCCCTAGCAGCTACTGAAATTCATCGAGGATTTTCTTTATGTTATTGAAAACCCTTAGGTTTTCTTGTGTTGTCACTGTTGAATGATGGCAAGGTGGATTGTTTATGTTGGATATAGAAATCACAATAAGTTACTTGAATCAGTAGTTACCTATCTTCTAAGTCTTTGATCCTTGAAGAAGCCATGAAGCCTGATTCATTCATCAGGAACAGCTCTTGGATAAGTGCTTCATTTCCTGTGGACATGAGCTACACAATGAACCCTGAAACCACTGACCACAGCGTGAAGGGGGTTCCTCAGCTTGCCTCAAGGGGCTGTGGCTCTTCATCTTGCTTGTCAGTGCCTTCAGGAAGTTCTTTGTTCCAGTAGCACTGGTCGAAGGTGTCGGAGCGGGGAAGGTCTGCTCCCTCATTTGGAGCTAGGAGCGGAAAGTCATGATCGACCATCTCGCACAGACGCACATAGCTGAGAGGGAGAGACACAGACGATTCCAACCTTTAACCAGACAGTCAAACATCTGTACATATGTGTCCATAGTCAGATCATATGATGGAAATCAAGTGAAACAAAGAGCATAGCTTACGAGGAGATATTGGTTTTGGCATGCTCCTGTATCAGCTCCCCCTTGGGATTGACAGTGAAAATCCTGTTCAGAGGAACGCCCACCTCCTTATAGGAATACACATCCTGAAATCACAAAGCATCACTACCAAGGGTAAGTGTTGGCAACAAATTGTGACAATGCTGAAATATTAGATTTTAAATTATGCATAGAAATAATTACTATTACAAATGATTCCCTTTGAATAAAGAGCAGACAAGTTAACCCTCTCACCGTAGCTCTGTTTCCAAAAGCAGCGTAGAAAGGCTCAGTGTTGGGGTAGAACAGTTGCTTTATGTCTGAGAGACACTCAATCTTAAACTTCTCTGGTTTCTTCTCAATCACCTCCCTACACAACATGACAGTAAACACATTTTACACAAACGATGTGTTAGCCAATAGATGAAGAAGACTGAGTGAAATGCATGAAAAACCCTAAAGTTCTAGTTACAATATGTGCACATGACGGTTTGTGTTGTTTGTGCGTATATATATACATGCTGCTGGTGAAAAACAATCTTTTTAAATACCAAATTATAGTTACTATTATTCATTGCTGAGGCTATTTTTGTATGGCTCAAGCCCATATGAATCCTGATTACTACATTGTTGTACATGTGGTGCGTGTCTGACCTGTGCAAAGCAGAGAAAAGGCTGCTGGGGCTGAGCAGCACCGGGCCCATAGGCAGCATGGTTCCCCTCTCATTGACCCAGTGCAGGTAGCCTCGCGTCATGTCAGCCATACCAATGGCCCTCGCCGAGCAGAACATGAATTTATATCCATTCCTGTGACAGAGAGAGAGACAAAGACACACATTTACCAAGCTTCAACAGTTGTGTATTCAGGTTTAAAAAGGATTCACTACTAAGATGCTATTATATGTCTGTTAAAGCAAAAATAACTAAACACATATATCGGATATTTGTAATGTAGAAGCTTACATTTGTATTGTAAAATGTCCTTAGCTTAACAACATCACTATGTAAGCAGTGTGGAGATTGTAAAGCAGCACTCACTGGCTGACTTTGTGGTAGAACCGAGCGATACCCTGGTGGGTCCAGTCTTTACCCAGAGTAGGGAGGATGTGACCCAGCGTGTCTGACCTACAGAGAGGCAACGTCACAACATCAATACAGATACACTTCTTTACTGCAAGTAGAGACACATCACCGACACTAAATCTGTGTAAAGCCTGACATCTAGTGGTGAAAAGTTGAAACTGAACTTCCTTCTGTCACAGGCTGCTTTGTTAATTTCCTATTGGATTATAACAACAACAGGGAGACAGTCTTGCTTTCCATTACCTGGTGATGGTTCCATCTATATCGGAGATAACTATCTTGTCATCCCAGCTCCACAGATAGATTGTGCCATGGCAGCGACATGTGCCCTGATACTGAGTGGTCACACTGAACACCACTTCATTGGCTCCCTCTTTCAGCTGCAGGCTAGCCTGTAAACACATACACACACACACACACACATTATTACACAAAGAGGCAAGCAAAGACACATTACAATTATGAAAGTTAATTTGATAGTGCAGGTAGGAAACACATGCAATAACACAAAAATCATCAGGAATTCTGATTCGATTTCTTTAAACAAAAATATTAGAATACCATTTTTCATTTTAAGATACAATAAATCTGGGTCTGAGATTATGGGCTCTCCCTCAGACCATTTTTTTTCCCATTCACTGAGCCTCCGATTCAACTGTTTGGAGCCCCATGGGATAGAGAGTGTAACCCGAAAAGCAACATGTTTTCACTCTTTTTAAAAAACATTTTAAGATTGATGTTTGGTATGTAAGCGTAGGTAATGTATGTACTTTGTCCACATTCATGCCATATAGTGCAATATGTAATAAGTCACTACAGAGCTTTAGAGCGGCCATAAACTAACGTGTGTGCATACTTTATCCGCATTAAGGTTAATAAAACCAACTGTAGTAATGCATACCAGCTGCTCTGAGTTGAGCCGAAGAGTCTTCTTGTAAAAGACGCTGCCAGGACTCATGAAGGGCTCCGGGTGGCAGGATCCTGATGCCTGATTGGACGATCTGTTGTCCTCATCACTAGAGGATGACTCATCCTTTGTGCTGAAGACAAACAATTGTAATGAGAATATGAAAACTGATGTTTTTGTAAGAGACATATGTTGTTTTTATGCTAAAAAAGGGTCTGTCACCTGTTCATTGAGGGCATGGTGAGTGAGCTCTCTCCACTGTCTCCCCCCCCATCCGTCACTGATTCCTGAAGTGCAGAAAGGTCAAAGGTCACTTAATCGGCTGAAATATTGTTGCTTTTGTTGATGTAAGGAACAAACATGGCCCCCAACATTTCCATGTGTCCCTTTCCCTCCACTGACTAGATTTACTGTGTGTAGATAATAAAGGCTTACAACCACTAAAAATGTGGATCCTGGAACTTACTGATTTGGAGTCGCTGTTCCGGCTCCTCCATGAGAACCACCAGCGTCCTCCTTTCTTTGGCATCTTCTCCTTCATGATGTTCTCCACTGAGGCCTGAAGAAAACCATGCATATACAACTCAAAACTGACTGGAAATGTAACTCAAAACTGACAGAAATAATGGAATCAAAGTGAAGCAGGAACTACAGGTACACCCATAAATACATGAACAGATAGCTCACAGGAAAATAATAAAGCAACACATTGCAAACGACAATGAAATGCAACTAAATCACCAAATAAAGGCAGTTACAGGTGAGAATTCAAAGGAGGCAAAGTAAAGAGAGATGTCTGAAGATTGTGCCTGGATAGCAGTGGGGAAAAGTGGCACAAGACACAGCAGACAGACAGACAGACAGACAGACAGACAGACAGACAGACAGACAGATTGACAGACAGACCGACCGACAGACCGACAGACAGACAGACAGACAGACCGACCGACAGACAGACTGACCGACAGACAGACAGACTGACAGACAGACAGACAGACAGACAGACCGACAGACAGACAGACAGACCGACAGACAGACAGACCGACAGACAGACTGACAGACAGACTGACAGACAGACAGACAAACCGACAGACTGACAGACAGACAGACAGACTGACAGACTGACAGACAGACCGACAGACAGACAGACCGACCGACCGACAGACAGACAGACCGACAGACAGACCGACAGACAGACAGACTGACAGACAGACCGACAGACAGACAGACAGACAAACCGACCGACCGACAGACAGACCGACCGACAGACAGACAGACAGACACAGCAGACAGACACACATGCCCTGACCAACTTCCAAGAAAAGTATCATACAGGTTGGGAAGGACTGGAGCCAAAAAGACCAGGGAGGCAGTATGAGAAGAGGCCAAAAGCAGAAAACACGTAACTCAAACACCAACACTGAGCACACAGAAAAATCGGATGAATGATGGAAGGGGAAAAAAAGTGTAAATAAAAGAAAAAAATAAGGAGGGGGATAAAGACATTACATTATTATTGTGTTAGAAAAACAGTAAGATTTAAAGGCAAAGGTCACTGTTGTGTAGGACTGGCAGCTTTCATGTTAGCGCTCCTGTGTGTTTATAAAAAGCCGATTCCAATTATATCATAGGGAATATCCATCAAAAAGTTCTCTTTATCCAACACAGTAAGTGTAAATAATCAATATGTTTCATAAAAGGAAGCCTGGACACTGGCAAAAGACAACACTGAAGTGACACATCAGATAGGGAAAATGTATAATTATTATTTGCTAAATGCTGTAAGTGCAGAGTAAAAAGTGATGCCGGGTCGCAGAACACTTACACCACACCATCTAACAATATAACAATGATGTAATCAAAGAGAATACTTTAAAACAATTATGACTAAGCTGTATAACTTTACACCGAAAGACAATTATGTTGCAACTCCTAATGGTTCATTTCAATCCTACAATATACATGTATTGTGTCTGACTGCGGTGGTCTTACCTGGGGCAGTGGTTTCTGATAAACCTGCATGGCCAGCATGACAGGAGCTGCTGTGTTCCAGTTGTAGTACCTAAAAGCAATGACCGAGAGCTATAAGTGGTCTTTAAAAACTCACATTTATATCTGACAAAAACAGGTGTCATATTTATTTCTAAATGAGGGATTATCACCCTAATTAGCTTTCTTGACGAACGTTTATGAGGTGCCAGTGAGCCGATTGAGGTAACTTTGGCTAGAGGGAGACTTGCTATTTCTCCAGGTTTCTAGTATGTGTGCTAACTGCTAAGTTATGCTAACCAGCTGCTAGCAATAACATTATATTTAAGGTATACACATGAAAGATGGCATAGATCCTCTTTGAACCTTCAGGAAAGAAAGCCAATATGCACATTTCACAAAAAGCCCAACTATTCATTTGGAAGCTCAATTTGTAGTGCAGCATAGGGCAGACAAAATGTGTATTAACCTTCCATAATGAATATATCGGTACATACTTGTTTCCTATCTTGACAACCAGGTTGGGGTCATCGATAAGAGAAGGGTTTTCTGAAAACTGCTTGTAGGAAATGGCTCTCTCCTGGAACTGATCTGTGACATAAAGCACACACAGACACGGTGGAGAACACACACACACACACACACACACACACACACACACACACACACACACACACACACACACACACACACACACACACACACACACACACACACACACACACACACACACACACACACACACACACACACACACACACACACACACACACACACACACACACACACACACACACACACACACACACACACACACACACACACACACACACACACACACACACACACACACACACACACACACACACACACACACACACACACACACACAGAAATAAGTTTAAATTGAACTAAGCTTTTCCCCTTTGTCCTTCCCTCTTGCACATTCCTTGTCCTACCTCTTGTGATCTCTCTGTTGTCAGTGAGTCCTCCACACAAAGAGATGGAAACATGAGGCAGGTCCCCTATGTGGTCGGGCAAACTGTCAACACCGCTGTCCATCCCACCGCTGTCCATCCCACTGCTGCCCTCTGAGTGGGGGGACTGATTTGCGCTCCGTACTCCCATCATCATCAACTCAGAGTCGCCTCTCATGGAGCTGCTGCCACCGTCACTGAGGAGAGAGAGATATACATACGCTCTCAAACAGATACATCTGTAACATCTGGTGTTGTGATTGTGTAGTACTACAATAGGTAGCAGACTGAAAACACATTTGATGAGACTGCATCTTGGCCCATAAGAAGAACTAAAAATATTTTTGACAATATTTCATAATGTCTCTAAATGTGGCACCTGAGGTAGATCGGCATATTTGAAATACAGTAAAGAATAACTGGAACTTGCATGATCATGCACTATGGGGTTGTACCGGTTGTACCCAAATGGTTATGGCTGCTTTGTTTGGATAAAAGTGTCAGCTGGATAAATGTAATGCTGTGGTGGTTAGCTATTGCCATAAATCCCTATAAAAATATTGAACAAGTTATTGATTACATTTGTAAAGCAGGACACAAATAACATAATGTCAAAGAATCCTGCCTAGGAACTCAGTGGGTGTATTACCAAACATAAAAGCCTTAAGGTGGGTGTATTATGCTGGAGTAAGTTATTTTACTGCTATCAAAGCATGCACATGAAATGTTCGGTGCATGATTATGTTTGTTACTGAACCTTTTAGGGAAATAGAGAGCAGCTACTTCAGGCTGCAGCTCTGTGATGTCATCCAGGTAAATGCCATCAGCGCCAAGGTGTTGGCTTCTTTTTTCTAATAAAATACAAAATTACACATCAGCATGATAATGAAGCATATAGAAATGTTTAAGTACAAGAAAATCCTTTGTACTGTTTGAGATACTGGTACCTTTCCTCTTGGATGGTGAATCAGTTGATCTGATGGGACTTTCTCCAGCCCCACCTTCTTCAAGATGATCAATGAGAATCCTGGGAGACACTGAGCTGGCTGATAAACCCTCAATCTCCGCACAAGACTGCCCAACATTTTCCACCTCTCCAACTACAGGAAAGAAAAAGAAAGTGAAAAAGTGAAAAGCTTGTATAAAGCAAGCTCATGGGTCACTGATACATAAGGTTCATTTGAGAACTGTCCACAAGGATTTGGGAAATTCTACAATCCTTTATTTCCTGACTCAAACAAGGCTGTTTAGTTGATTTATGATTCATTAACAGTCTCATTTGATTCATTCAGAAGTGACATTTGCAAAAAAAAACAGTAACTTAAAAAGTAAAACACCACTGGAGGTCAGTAAAGGGCCACTTTTTCAAGACTGACAGAGAGGTTTAAAGTATATAATAAAGGTTTTTAAAGGTAGCTAGATAATACAATTGACCTAATTATGTATTAGTTTAAACTGTAATGTTCTAGGCTTGCAGATAATACCATTCTGTCTTCCAGATTACGACCATGCTCACCTCCAGGCCTGTCCACAGTCGTCATAGTTAGTCCGGCCCTGGCTCCACTTTTGCTTTCTTCGGTGTCCTTGTCCTCACTGTGAGCAGCAGACTCCCCTGGCTGGGGAGCGTAGAGATTGAGGGAGGGGGGTCCCGTGTCAAGGATGGTTCTAAAATGAGTGCTGGAAGACACCAGGATGGAGACCACTGGGGGAGGGTGCTGCTTCTGGTGGTCAGTCAGGAAGGCCGGCTATGAAAGAAAGAGAAAGGGGTGACTTTACACTCTTTTTATGTGTGTGTGCTCAACTATGTTCTGTTTTCATATTTACTTATCTCCATTATTACATTTTGGGACCCTAATATATGTTTTCTCTTTTAAGATGAGAAGGTTGATCCCACTCTCATGTGTTACTGAAGCCAGCAGCCTGTTAGCTTATGAAGACATTTTGGGAGAAACAGCTGAAATGATTCTGTCTAAAGGTAAAACAAAAGACTTACAAACTCCTTTAAAGCACATATGATATCTCGTTTGTTAAATCCGTACTTTACAAAAACAAAGGCATGTAGTAACATTTTTATTTTAAGGTTGGTTATGTGCCTAGCATCTTCTATTTACATTATTATGTAAATCAATGAGCTTTGAGAATACCCCATGGCTTGTAGCCTTGCGAGTCCTGAAGTATCTTTTACCTGGGCAGCTTGTGGCAGCTCCCCCCAGGTCCACAAAATCTCAGGGTTTTTCTGATTGCTTAGCTCTGAGTCGCTCTTCGGTGTTGATGACCTAGAATCGTCGAGGCCGCTGGAAAAGTAGATTAACACCAGTTTGTACCCCGTAGTTTAACAGATATAACATCTTTAAAATATATATTACATTTTAGAATACTAAGATGAAGTAAAGCAGAAATTATAATTACAATTATTTAAATAAGTTTTACTTCCTGCAAACATTAAAGGTGGGGTAGGTAAGTTTGAGAAACCGGCTCGAGATACACTTTTTGTTATATTCCATGGAATGCTCTTAACATCTTGATAGCAATGAATATCTTAAGTGCTTTGACAAAAAATCCATAAAAAATGTCATCTGTGGAAGCCGTAGTACTGTAAAAAGCATGATGGCCTACCTGCCTGTCAGCCTTCCATCTGTGCACAAACTTATCTCGTGCCCTCATTGGTCATGTGCGCGTTCGTGTGTGTTGGAGGAGGGGCTCTGTAAGGAAGTGGCAGATTTTTTCCGGCTGTGTATTTTCAAATTCTAGCGCACTCGAGCTGGTTTCTCCAAAATGACCTACCCCACCTTTAAGCTTTCGTGAATAATTGTATTAGCAGCATTCAGAGAGCGGAACATTGAAAGTGATACCTAACGTGGGGGGGGAAGTGAGAAGTCTGCTGAGGACAAGAGATGGACAGACCACAGGCTGAAGGGATGGAGAGCGTCTCCACCGTCTTGATCCCATGACTACAGAAAGATACAAACACAGAAAGAAGACAGTGAATTTGTATTATTATCAAACTGAAAACATTGAGGATGCTTTGTAGAAATGTGACCCGAATGAAATAAAAGGAAGGAAAAAAAGTTTGACAGACAGTTAGACAAAATAAGAAGATAAGTTAATCATAAAGTGTAGTGAGTAAGTAATACCTCTGTGAACGGATCCAGTCAGTGCTGAGGTGTGTGAGCGTGTTGGCTATAGACCCCTGATCACCGTACACAGGTCTGAACACAAACACACGCACACACATGCATTGAGATGACATTCTTATGCAAACACGCATTTCAAAGCCTGTGCACACACCATACTATAAAAACACAGTGTAAGTGCAAGTCCAAATAAAGTAAAACAAGGGATTTGCTTATGCTCATAAAAATGTCACGAAACGTTTGTTTGAGCACAACCAAACAGAGTACAGTATGAGGCATCACATGAGGTAAACACACATTCTTTCATCTCCTCAAGGGTTTCTAGAGAGCTCCTGCCCTAGTGGTGAGCTTCTTTTCAATTTTTTTTAATTTATTTCAAAGACACACAAAGCACTGTGGGAACAGGAAGAATCCCTGGAGCGCAACCCACAAACTGAGCTGGCTTTCAAAGGTGTCACACACATACGTAAACAGTAACATGTGCACACATGCAGACACACCCATTCATTGCATCGCAACTGTTCCTAAGAGTTTTCTTTGAGAAATTGGAATGATTTTACAGAATTTAGAAAGATGGCTTGGAAAACATCATTCTCAATTGTCTTTGATAATGTCTAAGGAAATATTTGGTATTTCTTTTTTCCCCATTGTCTGAGGTGGGTTGGTCTCACTTGGAGAAAGATGATTTCACATACTTGCCCCAATAAGGATTTAGTAATATTTGTATCAGAATTCAATAACAGTAAGTCGTTTTTTAGGTCACTGTAGATCAAATCTGAACAAACCACGCAACCGAGTGAAGAAGGATGGCCACGCTTTCGAATCTTAAATTGTCCAAAGATGTTCCTTTTTCAACTTTAATTGTTGCTCTTTAACAATAAGCATTGTTATTTAGAGAAGGCTAATCTTTGTAACAAGTACAATTCTAAGATGCTTATTGTCAGCAGGTGTTTTATCTACCATATGCACATATCAGTTTACCATGTTAGCATACTGACCTTTGAAAATAAGCACAACACACAAATACAGCTGAGTCTATATATGGAAAGCCTTTGTTATTGCAGGCACCAATATTTAGTTACAAACCTGGACCTGATGATGGCGCTAGATCACCAAAGTCATTACAGCTCATCCTTAAGGGGGCATGATTGTTGTTGTTGAATACCATGGCATCAATCCAAAAGCTGTGGAGATAATTACAGACTAACCCAAAGAGGGGGACACTGCCATCTAAATTGCTATATATGGAAACATTCCAATTTCTTCTGTTTCATGCGCTGAAAATGCAAATGCCCTCTTTTAAATTGCTGGACAACCCACTTACACTCATTCATGCATGAAACACATAACAACACAGTCTTTATGCTTAACACAACTATTGGCAGTGGTTCATCTACTTAACAACCATCATTGTGAATGTTGAGAAGAGCCCATTGAGGTCGTTTACTACAGCAATGGAACAGAGTGACTGTTGTTTTAATAACTCCCCTCTCAAACATGAACACCTAAATTGTTCAAACTGAAACACACAATCCAACAACATATAATGTACACACACATACACACACCTGCTGTCACCCTCTCTCTCCTCGTCAGAGCTCAGGTCAATAGTAAACATGTCCTGGTCCTCCGAGAACTCTTCATCACTCTCCTCTCTCCTCCCTCCTCCTCCTCCTCCACCTGCCTCTGGTCGTGCCTTCCTCCTCCTCTTCCTCCTCTTCTTTATCATCCCCCCATCACTTTGCAGCAGTCCCAGGCTCTGGACAGGAAGTGAATCGCAGGGGATGGTGTCTATGCCATGTGAGAGAGTGCAATGAAAACTGTTAGCCCATACGCATTTACACAAATTACCAAATGTATTTTTAAGAGGGCCTACCATGGTGACGGAAAGTGCCCCTCCCCAGCTGGGACTCCATTAACTCTGCACCAGTCGACACGATGGGTGAGGTCGCAAGGTAGGACGGGACTATTTCCTGTAAACACAGAAACATGACATGATAATATGAGGTAATCTATAGTGTAAACATCCATAATTCCCTTCAAACTCTGATTTAAATCAACTATATTTTATTTAAAACAAAGGGAATTTGGAGTGAAATCATGTGGGAAGAAGATAGAAGATATAATGGGGTAGAAGATAAAAAGTATGCTCTATCGCTGTAGTAAGCAGCAGGGGTGTTTTGAGCTACTAGCAATGAATATGCTAACCATTTTGTTTACCATCATTTGTTTACCATCTATGCAATTGATGTTCACCGGCAACAATGTTGTCACATTTCAATTTAAAACACAATAGTCTGTTTGTGCACAATTTCTATGTAATCCATGATATATCCATGTAATGTTTGATGAGATATTAAGAACAGAGTGATGGGACAACCGACACATAACGCCATTATTGTAACCGTGCAACTATCTTTAAAACAAATCCAAATGCATATTATTTATACCACAAAAACATACGTATTGTGGAATTGAAGTCTTACTGTTTAATGAAATAGATCCCCCACCGATACAAATCCACATAATCTGGTTTGGATTTGAGGTTGAGCTCAGATTAGTTAAATCTCATAGAGACAGAGATAGTAACAGGGAAAGATAAAGAGATGATCCGGTCTGCAGACTGACACATGTCTTGCAGTTCATGTGTCATGACACAGTCCAACACAGTCAAAGTCATTTTGAGGGGTGAGTAAGTGAGTGCAATATGCCAGGTCACAACTCATCTGTTCAGAGCAATATATGCTGGGAACATACACAATCGTGCAGAATGGGACATGTAAGAATTCGGTTAGAATGTAAAAAGATTGTATATCTTTGGAGACAAATGCATCTACCAAAATAGCTGTGTGCACAGCAGAAATAATGAAAACAAACACGTTTAATTGTCTGTTTTCACCTGAAAGGGATTTCAACTAAACCAAATCAAGATACATTACAACATGTGGATTGTATTACCACAGGTATTCAGAGATCCTGATGTTCTAGCCTGATGATTACATCTTCCTGGAACATTTGGTAAATGTTTCCCTTGCAGGATCTTATTGCCATACACAAGCCCTAACAAGTCCTCCAATTTAGAAAAGGGTAAGTTGGATAGAAAACTCCCAGGAGACTTGGCTTGATGCCAAATAGTTGCCGTATAAATGCAGTAAATCTTTTTCCATTCATAAAAGTGAGATACATCAAAAACACTGATGGAAGATAATAAATATAAAACTGAAACCGACAATCATCAAGCTGCTATATCTGAAAAGTGTTTCATTCCTTGCATGTTTATCTGTGCTTTAATACTGTACATTACATGTTGTATGTGGGGTTTGTCCTGTTCCTATTTCACACTCTCTGTTTGCCGAACCGTCTCATCTGTCTGGCACTCAGATCAGTGACCGGCAGTTTCAAAGTGCAGTCTCAGTGCAACAGACTGTACAGAGGTGAATTTGCCCGAGTTATAAATAGACCCCTGGTTTTCCACTTTCCAGAGGAACCGTTGGGTCAAGGCGAGATTATGCCCAAACAGTGGGATATAGATGGCCAAAGAGACAGACATTCAATTAAAAGTACTTTATTTTCCCATAAAGGACGAAGGAATTCAAATATTCTTGCAGGACCCCCTCTTTAGAGCACCCATGTCAGACCAAAGTAATCCCTCAGATCAGGTTTGAGTTCTTCTCAGAATAATTCCTAACTGGGGAACATTTCCAGCTCCCATCATGCTCACCACTCATTCTTGTTTCCTTCAGACGAGTACCCCCCCCCCCCTCAGGTCCCTGACCCTTTAACTTCCCATGCATCCTCACCTATCACTTTACAGAATCAGTTGTCAAAACAAAAGGGAATGTTTGCACGTCAGGTTGTTTCTGCTCTGTTTGTGCAGTGCCCACTTCCATGTGACATATATTACAGCTGCATGGAACTGAGCTAGACTTATTTATTATTATGAAAAAAATATGTATTCTACTTCAGAGGATAGGAGCAAAACAGGGGGCAAAGGCTTTGACACGGATTGCAAATACTTTTTCATAATCCTATTCATACGAGACCAATAATATCCACCTCAATGACATTGAGACGGTGTCCTATGACCCCAATATGAAAAGAGGAATGAGAACTTTGTTTCTGGGTGCATATCTCATAGCAAACACAGACAAACACATTATGTGATGTATGGTGCTGTACGTGCATACATTTCTGGTTTATGTATCCCTATTGAGGACTGAACCCTGAACTCTTGCACAGTAACTCTACCAGCAGTGGAGTTCAGATGCACATGAATCAAATAGGAGATGAATAGAGTGAATTTTCATTAGAAAATAAATAACAACATCCACTGCTCAGTGTGAAATATCTTCCGCCCCAGTATCTGTTTATGCTGTCTGTCTGTCCTGATGGTTTATTTCCAGGAAACTAAAGTCATGCATGCAGACAGGATGCAACACAGGGACAGATCTTCATCTTATATTTCTGCTGGTGGAGTCTTTCTCCGCTTTTGTACAAAACAGAATCTCAGATCAGCAGATCGTTGTCCAGAATTTCCAAAATAGATGAATGTCTGTTCACATTATTTTGTGTTTCCATATATATTATATTTTTGTGGTACTATAACACATTTTTCTATTTAATTGTTGTTCTTTTCTTGAAATCTCATCTCACATTGTTGTTTGCACTGTATGAGTGAGACTTATGATCTTATTATAGCCTTTCTGCAATTTAATTTGTGGAGTATTGTGTGTTATCAAGGCCAAGACACTCGTGATTTTGCACTTATAGGGTTCATACAATTTGCATCTTTAGGACAATTCTGTTTTGCTTATTTATGGCCAAACATCACATTGCATAATGACGACAGATCAGTCACTATTTAAATACTTTGACGTCTCCATGGCAGCTGCCTGTCTCATGTTTCATTTCAGACTAGAGTAAAGAAGGGGCACGGTTGTGCCCCCTCTGGGCGTGTCTGTGCAGAAAACTATTCTGTAGATCTAGATCTGATACTGACAACACTATGTTGTGTATTAGCAGATTCACCAGTAAGTGGTGAACTACATTATTAAGATGATGCCACAGGGCAGCAATTTAAAATATTCTCTACGAGTTTCTCTCCTATTCAAGCTCTTTTACGTTTATTTTAGTTTAGCCTGTAAGGCCTTCATGTCAGTACGTTATGTTCCATCCTATATGTGTTTACTGACTCAGAGAAACGACTCTGTCAATCAACACTTACCATCGTGTTTTCAGTTTCTTTGACAAAGAAGGCCTCTCCATTCTCTCCCAGCTTCATGTGCAAATTCACCGGCTCTCCGTTAATTTCAATGTCAACCTGCAGGAGAGAATCATGAATAAATCCTTTATTTGTGATATTGTGTTAACATTTAGTAAGTGTTTTGTAAATTAATATCTGTGTTATCTTACAGATAGCATGTGTTTGTGTGAAATCCGTCACTTTTAACTTTCCAATAGCAATACTCAGCCTGTAGAATGTCATCCGAATTTTGCTGCAACGTTTTTACCAAATGAAAATGTCTGAACACTGATTAAAACGTATGTCATGATCTTCTGTCCTCACAACTTTTTCCGCCTTTGCTTCAATACTGTAGTCAGGATACAAGTGTGACTAACGAGTGTGATGTAGGCAGCACCCTGTAATCTCACCAGTTTCTCACTGGACCGCAGCACACCCATCTTGCCGAAGCGGACGTGGAAGGGGGAGCACTTCAGGGTGCCATCGGGCTGCCGGACCACGATGACATCTATACATCCTGACAGGGTTGCAGGGTTGAGTCCCCTGTAAAGCTCCTTGACCTGCACAAACACCTGACCCGCCAACTGACCCACATAGTTCATGGTCTGTAGCTGGAGACAGGCAGGAACACAAGAGAGAGAAATGTATGGTTAATTACTTTCCCACAAAAATAAATGTTGTACTTCTTTTGTTCATGAAACCTTAAATTGTAAGGCCTTTAACGTATGCACATGAAAGTGCATGGACCTATTAGCTGTAGGAGTTTGACAGATGGGATGTTTTATGTAACCACAAGTCTCCCTGCCACATTGAAAAACATTATTGATCCACTCAGACTAAGTCCAATTACTGCCTGCATAAGCCAGCCAACTTTGCAATCTCTTCTGGAACCATAAACAATGACAGCATACTGGTGACGTAGCTGAGTTTGTTTGTGGTTTTGACTGGTGTTGGTATGTTGGTGCATCGATTTGACACATCAGGAATAACAAAGCCTGAAAAAATTACCTGAACAAAGAAAGACTTTAAGTGTATTTAAAAGAAAAAGGTCATGTCTAACTAAATTGTATGTACAGGAGCTAATGGTCCTTTTGGACTACAGGGTTAACATCTTTTCATAGAGTACAATGCACAATGATGAGATAAAGAGACTGAGTAGACACAACCATTAAGAAAGAAAGAGGTAGAAGAGAATGGGAAAAAAGACGGGGGAAGAGAGCCATAAATAAGTAAGTGAGAGTTAAGAAAAAGGAATCAGAGGAAGAAGGGAGACTGGGGGAAATGGATAATGTTAGCTTATTTTAACAGGAGATTGGGGGGAGATATATAGAAACAAAAACAAAAATGACATCACTGTCTTATCTGTGTAACAAACTGCCCTTCAAATCTCCACCCGACACCTGCGTGTGCTTACTCATCACAAAACACACACACACACACACATTATTAAAGCACGCCAAAGTGACAGATGGCTCAATATTTTTGGCAGACCATGTGAGAACATCATGTAACGAGTTTGGTTTGTTTACATCGAAGAAAAGTGAGACACTCAACTATGACTTGTTTTGATCAGCCTGTGCTAATAAAAACTATTTTATTAAACAAATGAATAAACTGTATTCAGACTGACTTTCATTGTACCTCTGCTTGAATCAAATTAAATATGTCCTTGAGATCAAGAAATATATCTTCTAACTCAAATGTAATGTTGCTTTTCCTAGGGACAATTTCTCTAAACTGGCACTGTATCTGGACAAGTATTTTAATGCTTTGAAATTCAAAAGAAAAGTTACCCGAATGGCTTGACACGTAAAGATATGGCTGTTATTTTTGTTTGTCATTCGAGTGAAATTACCCTTTAATCTCCTAGTGTGCTTGTTGCTCAATAACTGGGAGTGGGACTGTTTGACCATTATTACATAATTGTTTGACCCCATGGTATTTATTTTCTTTCTCTCACAATCACACTCGAACATATACTCATTATTGGACATGCCACAAACCTGATATCACTGTCAACATTGACCACGTGCACCAACATATACACATACCAACACACACAACCGCACACATACACACACACATATAACCAAAGCCTCTCCCACTTTTCCAGGAAAACTTTTCGTATTAGCCAATCACAATGCTTCCTTATTATATAACAGCCAATCACGAGACAACTCGTAGGTCATTCAACGTAATGAAGTGCGATTTCTGTATTAATTATTATGGCAGTAAAATAAATGCTGTTTTATCTGAGGCGATTGGGAAACAACAACAAGGTTATTCTTTATTTTTTTCAATATAATCCTCCAGTGTCACTCTCACTGCAGCAGCACAGATAATGAGATCAGCACATATAAACAGAGAGGGATTTACAGACAGATTATGATAAATATCCAATTAGCCTATATCAATTTAATGCGAATGAAGCAGCAGGCAAACACTCTGGGATTACAAACCAATGGCTACAAGGACAATCAGAGATCATTACAAAATATATATTTCTACTCATGTATAACCATATCGTCTATAAATAGGGAAATGTGACATGAACGCGCCTACGCTGAGGCTGAAAACATGTGGTTCATGAAGCGATAGTAGAGTCATGCGTGGCCTGGGAGCAAACATGTAAACATCTGCACACGGGGTGAGGCTCTGCTCCGGAGCTTCATTCAAACACTCGCACACTGTAAATACTGCAAACCCTTCATTTAACCGACTAGGAAAAAAACACTGAATGCATAGTAAACAATGATGCATTTTAATTTCCTAACGCCACGTTACTGTACAGTGCAGTGAAGCCTACAGTACTTACATTATGTATTGATCTCGCTCTTCACTCCGAAATCTTTCCGCCATCCAAATTTTCCACCAAAACGTGCTCTGCAGGGTTAATCCGTTACATGATAGCTTGCAGATTCATTATTGTCTGTAAAGGCTTTCCTCACATTTGATCTTGACTGCTCGAGGCTGCTATGCTTTTTAACCGCAGTTAAAAACAGTCCTCCCACATCTACAGGGGCTGCACGAACAGAGCGATCTGATTGGCTGAGCCGGTGCTGATGTAACATAATGGTGACTGAATATTTCCCTCTAAAAATCATTAATATGTATTATCACAGTAAGATTTACCATGGCTATAGTGTCTTGGTGGTGTTGTTGATGTTCTATGATGTATTTAACCCTGCGTTAATATTTGTTTTCTATTATTTTAACTTGTTTTACGTTTAACTTATAATGAATGGCTTTATTACTGAACAGAAAATCAACCATAACCCTTTATTATTAGGTTGGCCTCAAAAGTCCTATAAGAAATGATATTCTCTATCGTTTTCATGTGCACAACACACAATAAATAACATGTAAAAACCAAGTCCAAACGAAAAAATACACAATATGAAGTAGGCCTATATATTAACAGTTTGCATAAGACACAATGTTAGGAGCGACATAGTTAGCTAAATTCTTAAAAAGCACTTGCAGAAAAGTATATGTAAGTGTTTGGCATATATTTCTTCCTATGTATAACCGATAAAAGACCACAGTTAGAACAAATCTTGTTCTTATTCTAAAGAAATACAAGTCAAGTATTTGGGGCAGATGAGACAAGAATAGCAGTGACATTAGGAAGACTTGAGGGCATGTGTAGTTGTCTCAGTTTTCAAAATGTAAATCTACCCACCTGCCACGACACATCCAGGCAGCACCAAGACATTCATTTTTGTTATAAGATTGATAACCAAATGGCAGACTTCACTGTAGTGAATGGCAATGAGATCAGAATGAAAAGCTTATTTAATTTAGTGTAACATATGCAAGTTGGACTCGGTCCTAATGTATAAAAGAAACCCCATTAAACAAAATTATCCAGATGCTACATTGTACTGTATGTTGAATAACATGGTTTCAGAAAGTTTGATTTGAGCCACAATTAAAATATTAGATAAAAAAATTAGTTTTGGCAGTTATGTCGTGTTTGCTTTCTTGCATATGCCTTTACCTACAGTAAGAAGATTGATACAATGCACCTGAAATGAGAGTAGTACTGATCTTATTATATAACTCTTGGGAAGAGGGCTCAAATTGTCAAGCTATTCCTATCAGAGAGACATTTAAATGTTATTTGGCACATAATGCATCTACTTATAGCAAATAATAACAATGTAGTGTTATAGTGAAATGTATAATAGAATAGTACTGTATATATACACTACTATTCTATTATACATTTCACTATAACACTACAATACTATAGTAAAAAGCCAACAGTATGTCAATCATTAGTGTAATGGCCTCCCTATGCCAGCTGATTACAAATGTCAGAGTTACAGACTAAGAGAAGCCTGAGAAGAATATATAGCCTTTACTAGAGTACTGCTGGCATAAGTACTCGTACATATATAAATATGCCCTTTACAGAAATAGACACAGTCACTGTAATGCTACAGAAACAGAAAGACATGAAGATTTGTGTGACGTCAGTTCTATGGTGCCAAGAGGTAAACCAGATTTAATTAAATGTATAAAAGAATATGAAAATGTTCACCTACAAATAGGTTCAAGGTTCTTTATTTCAAGGTATCATGCTGCAAAAACTAACAATGCTCTTGAGCATAGTTTGTGCAAGGAAAGCCTTTTATCAGTGCTTCCCTTTAGCTTTATTTAATGCATGGCTTCAAACCAAAAGTCCATCAGAATGACTTTCAAATCAAGGATTTATTCTGTATAGATTAGATAGACCAACAAAATGAATAAAGTTACTCTAGAACTTCAACAAAATGTGTGTCAATATTGTATATATTAAAGTGTTATTCTTAACTGTTGTTATGCATTCATGACTTCTCTGATCAGATTATAGTACAGTTATGTAAGGTGCAAGAGTCGAGCCAGGACACAGTTCCAGCTTTAGACAAACAAACACAAAAGTTTGTCTCCCCGGACTGTACCAGGTCTCATGGTGTTACTCAATCATTCTGAGAACCAACCCCACCAGTTACAAGCTAATCCAACTTCTCCTGCTTCTCTTTGTTATTATTGGAATTCTTAGAGAGTTGCACACACACACACTCCCTAATGCTCACACTATGCTAGCCAGAGAGGGAACAAGGACACACGTGTTGGGTTTTCTAAGAACTGAGTCATTCATCGGGGAGCAACAAGAAGCCAACTAGAGGGGGAGAGGGGGGAGAGGGGGGAGAGGGGGACACATTCAGAGAATATGGAGATAGGCGAGTGGGCTAGAGAAAGAATTTGCAGAATGTCAATATTTGTGTGGTTGTGTGACAAAGACAGAAAGTTCAGGTGTGACAGAGGAACTGGTTACTTAATTGATTTACAGAGGTTACGTAAACACAGTAATAACTATAAAGTCATCTTTTAATTTGTATCGTCTAAAGTAAATGATGATAGACTGGAGTTAGATGAGGAGATGGTTTCTATCTTATTTTGTTGTATGGTATGGTTAGCTTGTATTAGCACAAGGACTGGAGATAGGTGGATAGCTTGCTTTCTCATTTCAATGGTAACAAAAGTCAACCTACCAACACCTCTTAAACTCACTAATTAAAATAATGTTTTGTTTGTTTAATCCATACAAAAAACAAAGTTTGTCTAGCTCTTTCCCCTTGTTTTCACATGTCATGCTAAGCTAAGCTAAATAGCTCTGGCTGAAGCTGAAGCTACTCAGTTCACCTACAGTACAGGTGTCAATATTCTCATGTGACAAGATCATTTCTATAATAATTATTATAGTTATATAGTATAATTAAAGAGCTTTACCTGCACTAAAATTGTTTGGACCCATTTTATATCTGGTATATGAGATACCTGGTTTTAACCCCCTTACTTTTTTATTTTAACAGGGCTATCATTGATCAAACCACCCTCATTTATTCAAGGAAATTACATTGTAAACACTGATAAACACTTTGGGTAATTTCAGGAATTTCCTTCATTAGAACTAATTTGGTTGTTTGTTTAGGGATAGGTTAGTATTTGCTCTCTCCATGCATGCATACATATGTGTGTCTGTTTGTTTTACACAGTATGTGTACTTGAGTTCTGGGGATATGTTCTCCAGCCACCCTCCAGCAGTGTCGCTCATCTCAGACATGTGAGAGAGAGAGGAGAGATAGGAAGGAGAAAGTGTTTTGCTGAGGTAGGAGGAGCCCGATCTCTCCCAAGAACATCAGCTTAAGCATTATTTCTATCACCACGGAGATGGGGGTGTTACTTAGGGGATGGGCTGCATCATCCAATCAGAGGGCGGCCTGAGCCATACATTGCAAATGCACTATTGAACCTGCCCAGTATGGAGTCCTGAGGCATGCCTTTAGGGCTTGAGAACAATCTAATGGTATGGCTTCAAAGGGCAAGAAATGGATGCATGACACTTCCCTTAGTAATGCCATAATGGATAAATGAACAATCCAGATGCAAACAGTTGCTTTATGATTAATAATCATCATACAACACTATACATTGACCCAAAATAGGGACATTCGTCACCTATTATAACGAGAAAACCCCACACCACGTGACCACCAGCTCACTTACAGGAATAACAACATCTTATATAATGTGGAGTAGTTGTTGGATTCTAAGGGTTATTAGCTCCATAAACAAGTCATATTTTTGTCTGTGCAAATATAGATATTGTGACATTGTTTATCTGAAGTTTCTTGAATTAATTAGAGTGTACAGTAAATCAGAGTATGACTGCCTGACAACATAAAATGCTCGATCAATAGGGTTACATGCAGTTTGCTGTTCCACAGTTTATGTTTGCATTGATCATTCACATGTTTACCTTCAAATCGTAAGACTATTAAAATAATAAATATAAGACTGATGTTAACGAGAAGGACAAAATGATGGAAACTTCAGGCAGATATCATCTAAATGAGGGGGAGGAAATGTGGAGGTGCTGCCTGAGTGCACAGAGACACTAAAACAGGCCTCTGCATGGTGGGACTGTTATGTAATAGCTTGGCTAGCTGAGGGTTATGCCTTTAAAAGTACCCATGTGGGCTTGAGGTCATGCAGAGATATGAGCTGTTGATTCAGCACATGGTCATACTGCACACAAACAAAGGCACACAAACTCCATGAACCAAACTGGGAACTGGCAGTGAAGCAGAAGGACACACTCAAAGACACACACTGTTTCTCACACTTACACACATGAACTGAATGGGAGTGTCATTTGATCAGTGTTTTTAAGGACATGGGCTTTATTCTTGGAAAGCAACTTAAGACCAGTCAGGTGGACCCTCCTCATCCTTCCTTTTCTATATTTAAAAAAAACCCTCATGTCAAAGTTTTACTATTAGAGATTATTCTTAGTAACAACTTACAGTACACTTCTTTTCTTTGCCTCTCTCTATAAAGTCAATACCATCATTTCCCTTAGTTCCACTTTTCTTTATAGCTCTTATTTAGCTCTGCTTCGCTCAGCATTTTTCTGCAACTGGAACATGGGAAAACCAGGACAAATTCCCTGCCACTTTTTTGTGTTTTCTACATTTAGACAACACAGGTACAGTGATGCTTTTCTATCTTTTATGAGTGTATAGGTAACAGGGCTGGTAATAAGATTGGCACAATACAAATGAAAAAACCAACATAAAAGGATAAGACAAAATACTGTTATTTTAATTTTGTTACCCCAAGTCCAGCTGCCGTTGAGGCTGTCATCCTCACTGTGGCTGCTGAAGTCTTGCTCTTCCATGTGGGCCATGGCTCCATGTCTTGACTGATGCAGATTGCTGTTTGAAGATCCTACTTCTAATTCTGGTTAAAATCTCTCTAAATGATGGGAAAGCTCTGCTCTTTCTGGACGAGTCGCCTGACTTAAGACTTCAATCTGAGTAGTTGATGCTTGTGCAACGTGCAGTGAGTGTTTTAGACTAAAATTATCAACAAGTGGTTTCTTGGAATGGAGTACTTGGAGGAAATCTGAGAGGGTCAGGAGCTGCTGGACTATAC